TTTTTTCTCGTAGTGGTGGGCGTCGGGATTAACGTTGGATCTACTTCACGGGACTTTTTTTATTTTTAATACCGCATACTCATTCACATGGGATGGGAGTCAGGATCTGGGGACCCCCTTTGTTAAAGGGGGCTTCCAGATTCCGATAAGCCCCCCACCCACAGACCCCCACAACCACAGGCCACGGTTATGGGGAAGAGGCACTTGTCCCCATCAACATGGGAACAAGATGCTTTGGGGGGGAGCCCACCCACCCGGGAACAAGATGCTTTGGGGGGGAGCCCACCCACCCCAAAGCACCCCCCCATGTTGAGGGCATGTAGCCTGGTATTGTTCAAGAGGGGTTCGCTCATTTCTCCCCCTTTCCTGACCTACTATGCTGCATGCTCCGATAAGGGTCTGGTATGGATTTTGAGGGGGACACCCACTGTGGTTTTTTTTTTTAATTTTGGCCTGGGGGTTCCCCTCAAAATCCATACCAGACTCGAAGGACTTGGTATGGATGGGAGGGGGGATCCCGCGTCATTTTTTTTAATTTAAAATTTTCGGGCAATGCCAACAATTCTTTTGACATTCAGCTGTCGGTGGGGAACCCCACTGACACCAGGAACATGAATGAATGTCTCACGACTAAAATATCGCATGACTTCATCATAGAACTCCCACCGGATTGTAGTCGCTGAGCGGGATCGCACCACATACTCAGATGCAGGAAGATACCACTCAGTTGTTCGGTTCGTGTTTGAAGTTTGAGGTCGAACATGCTGTAGGTTTGGATTTTCGACCGCAAACCGAACTGGGGGGGTGTTCGGCCCATCACTAGTCAGGAACATATGCCATGAGCAACTAACCTTCCAGAGCCCCCCAGTCACCCAATCCCCTTTCATATTAGATCCCTACCTATTAGCCCCAACAGCGCTGCAGAGGGCAGGAGGTGGATGAGAGCTGTAGGTGGCAGATTTCCATCCTCTCCTGAATGCTGGGACCCTGCATCAGAGTCATGCGTTGCCCTGTTGTGGGTGGGCCAGCCACCAACTCTATAGCAATCAATAAATCCGAGTGCTCTGGCCCTAGAACAGGGGTGTCAAACTGGCGGCCCTCCAGGCGTTGCGAAACTATAAGTCCCATCATGCCTCTGTCTTTGAGAGTCATGCTTGTAACTGTCAACCTTGCAATGCCTCATGGGACTTGTAGTTCTGAAACACAGGGGTGTCAAACTGGCAGCCCTCCAGGTGTTGCGAAACTACAAGTCCCATCATGCCTCTGTCTTTGAGAGTCATGCTTGTAACTGTCAACCTTGCAATGCCTCATGGGACTTGTAGTTCTGAAACACAGGGGTGTCAAACTGGTGGCCCTCCAGCTGTTGCAAAACTACAAGTCCCATCATGCCTCTGCCTTTGGGAGTGCCCTAGAGCGTCATTGGTTGGCCGTAGTTTGGCCTCACCTCTCCAGCACGCCAACCTTTATTTTCGGGCCCCCTATGTGGTTTTGGTGACCAATCAGTCGTTAGGTAAGGTGAGATTTGGCGGGTCTGCCACGCCCAAGCAGCATATGGAAGCACTCCGGCTGGATCCATAGTGGTCTATCCTACCTGCCCGATGCGAAAGGGTTACGTTGTTTCCAGCAGGATGGATTACCATAAAACACGATATTTAATGTGCGCGGCATCTGTGCTCCAACACGCCGGATGTTTGTTACCTTGAGCCGGCATCAAAATGTCAAATCAGCTCCAATTAGGCGGCCCAGCAAAGCGTTCCTGTGTCTGTCTGCGAACATTAATCTCCTTATCACTCACTGACTGCGAGACTCATCCTCTATTAGTCCTCAGCTAATCACCACCTGTTCAAACAGCCTTCACACGCTCCGCCGGAACCATTCCCGTCCCGCAACAACGCCATTACCTTCATTACACCGGGCACCAAGATGGCGCCACGTGACGCCACGGGACCCCGACTGCTGCACCTTATCAGTAGATTACAGCAGAGCAATGCTGGATCCATTGAGTAGGTGAGCATCTGAATCAAGGACAAGCCTGAGTCCCTCCCATCACATCAGAGCGCCCTTCATCATATAGAGCCCCCTACCCTTTACATCACAGCCCCCCATCACATCAAAGGCCCCCATCACATCAGAGCGCCCTTCATCATATAGAGCCCCCTACCCTTTACATCACAGCCCCCCATCACATCAAAGGCCCCCATCACATCAGAGCGCCCTTCATCATAACGAGTCCCCTACCCTTTACATGAGAGCCCCCCCATCACATCAGAGCTCCCTTCATCATAATGAGCCCCCTATCCTTTACATCAGAGCCCCCCATCACATCAGAGCTCCCTTCATCATAATGAGCTCCCTATCCTTTACATCAGAGCCCCCCCATCGCATCAAAGGCCCCCCATCACATCAGAGCTCCCTTCATCATAATGAGCCCCCTATCATTTACATCAGAGCCCCCCATCACACCAGATCTCCCTTCATCATAACAAGTCCCCTATCCTTTACATCAAAGGCCCCCCCATCACATCAGAGCTCCCTTCATCATAACAAGTCCCCTATCCTTTATATCAGAGCCCCCCATTACATCAGAGCTCCCATCATAATGAGCCCCCTAACCTTTACATCAGAGCCCCCCATCGCATCAAAGGCCCCCCATCACATCTGAGGTCTCCCTTCACATAAGAGGCCTCCCATCACATCAGAGCTCCCTTCATCATAATGAGCCCCCTATCCTTTACTTCAGAGCCCCCCATCACATCAAAGGCCCCCATCACATCAGAGCTCCCTTCATCATAATGAACCCCCTATCCTTTACATCAGAGCCCCCCATCACATCAGAGCTCCCTTCATCATAATGAGTCTCCTAACCTTTACATCAGAGCCCCCCATCACATCAGAGCCCCCCATCACATCTGAGGTCTACCTTTACATAAGAGGCCCCCCATCACATCAGAGCACCCTTCATCATAACAAGCCCCCTATCCTTTACATCAGAGCCCCCCATCACTTCAGAGCTCCCTTCATCACAATGAGCCCCCTATCCTTTATATCAGAGCCCCCCATAGCATCAAAGGCCCCCCATCCCATCAGAGCTCCCTTCACATAAGAGGCCCCCCATCACATCAGAGCTCCCTCCATCATAATGAGCCCCCTAACCTTTATATCAGAGCCCCCCATCGCATAAAAGCCCCCCATCACATCTGAGGTCTCCCTTTACATAAGAGGCCCCCCCTCATATCAGAGCTCCCTACATCATAACAAGTCCCCTATCCTTTACATCAGAGAACCCCATCGCATCAAAGGCCCCCCATCATATCAGACATCCCCCTTTACATATGAGGCCCACATCAGATCAGAGCCCCCTTCACATCAGAGCCCCCCCCCATCACATAAAAGGCCCCCCATAACTTCAGAGGTCCCTCTTTACATATGAGGCCCACATCAAATCAGAGCCCCCTCTTCACAACAGAACCCCCATCACAATAAAGACCCCTCCCCATCACATCAGAGGTCCCCTTTTACATAAGAGGACCCTCGTAAAATCAGAGCCCCCCCCCACTTCACATCAGAGTCTCCCATCACATAAAAGATCCCCCATCACATCAGAGGTCCCTCTTTACATATGAGGCCCCCATCAATTCAGAGTCCCCCCTTCACATCAGAGCCCCCCTGTTCAAACAGCCTTCACATGCTCCATGAGAACCATTTTCCGTCCCACCAAAGTTTAAACGCAGCAACGCCATTACCTTCATTACACCGGGTACCAAGATGGCGTCACGTGACGCCGCGGGGCCCGGACTGCTGCACCTTACCAGTAGATTACAGCAGAGCAATGCTGGATCCATTGAGTAGGTGAGTATCTGAATCAAAGACAAAGACAGATAAATGGGGATAATTAAAAAAAATGACAGAGGAGCGAGTGAAGTTCCTCTGTAAAGTGATTTGGGTGGTTTTTAAAAGTGTAATGGGCTTTAAACGTCTCCAGAGGGTTACAGACGCTTTTTTCATCCATACAGAAGCTGTTGTTGTGCCAAAAAACAACCTCTCGTTATCTTTTTTTTTATTTTTATGTAAAAAGAAAAAAACAAAGAAAAGAAAGAAATAATGATCAACTATAGAATAGAAAAAAAGGAACAAAATAATGATCAACTACAAAATAAAAAATAAATAAAAATAACGATCAAACACAGAATAAAAAAAAAACAGAAAAACTAAATAATGATCAAATACAGAATTTAAAAAAAAAATGAGATCAAATACAAAATAAAAAATAAAAATAATAATGATCAAATACAGAATAACATAAGAAAAATTAAATAATGATCAAAGACAGGAGTAATGAGATCAAATATGGGAGTAATGGTTCCCCGTCATTGGTGTCTGTGGGAGTAATGGTGCGCCATCATTGGTGTCTGTGGGAGGAATGGTGCCCCATCATTGGTATCTGTGGGAGGAATGGTACGCCATCATTGGTGGAATCTGTGGGAGGAATGGTGCCCCGTCATTGGTATCAGTGGGAGGAATGAAGGCGCCCCATCATTGGTATCTGTGGGAGGAATGGTACGCCATCATTGGTGTCTGTGGAAGTAATGGTGCCCCATCATTGGTATCTGTGGGAGTAATGGTTCCCCATCACTAGTATCTGTGGGAGTAATGGTGCCCCATCACTGGTGTCTGTGAAAGTAATGGTGCCCCATCATTGGTATCTGTGGGAGTAATGGTTCCCCATCAATGGTATCTGTGGGAGTAATGGTGCCCTATCACTGGTATCTGTGGGAGTGCCCCATCATTGGTATCTGTGGGAGTAATGGGTCCCCATCACTGGTATCTGTGAGAGTAATGGTGCCCCGTCATTGGTGTCTGTGAGAGTAATGGTGCCCCTGTCAGGGCTCCCAGGTGTGACCAGAGGTGTGTGGCTGACGCAGGGAAACGCAGACCTCAGATATGTTATAAACAATATAATTTATTAACACTAACAATACAAACATAAACGCAGTGCAATACTAAAACATAATACAGTGCAACCAAACCAACCACCCAAAGATAACAGTACATACAAGCAAGCGTCGTCAGGCAGGCCGGGTCAATATCAATAGGGCAGGTAGGTACAGGGGGAGCAAGCGGAGATTGGTCGGGGTCACAGGCCAGGTTCAGCAGGTAGCAAGCAGCGTAGTACAGAGGGTCAGGCAGAGGGATGGTCAGGGTCACAAGCCAGGGATCAGAACAGGTAGCAAGCAGCGTAGTACAGAGGGTCAGGCAGAGGGATGGTCAGGAGCGAGCCGGGATCAGAGCAGGAGAAGTCAGCAGCGGTTCAGAAACAGGATGCAGGACAGACACAGGATACAGGATACAGGGCCCAGGACAAACACAACACCAAGGCAGAGTCTGTGGGTCTGGCCATCCCTTAAATACCCCAGCATAATCAGTTCCAGGTGTTAGCTGGCTGCAAAGTTGAGTCTCTGATTGCTGGGGGCATCCGCTGGCCAGCCCTGGTACTGCAGATCAGATAAAGGTAGGTGAGTCCCACCATTGCTGGCCAGTCCATTCCTGACAGCCCCATTATTAGTGTCAGTGGATGGAATGGTGCCCCATCATTGGTGTCTGTGAGAGTAATGGTGCCCCATTATTAGTGTCAGTGGATAGAATGATGCCCCACTACTTGATTCTGTGAAAGGAATTGTACTCCATCATTGGTTTAAATGGATAGAATGGTGCCCCATCATCGGGACCTGTGGGAGGAATGGTACCCCATAAATGGTATCAGTGGATGGAATGGCACCCAAAGGGCCAGAGAAAGGCAAGCCAAGGGACACATCCATCCTGTAGTCCACAGTTTGGAGATCACTGCTCTAAAGCATTCTGTTGCTGTGTTTTAATGAACTTGTTAACTTGCGTCAAGGATGTCCAATCATTATACAGTCAGTGGGCTGCCAACATGCCACAAATGAAAACATTTGACTTTTTTTTCAACACAGAATGCTACAATCCTGTGCATTGTCCTGTACTGTACAACGGTCTTGGATGCCATTCGCATTGCACCATTCGCTGTGGTAAAGCACCTTAACGTGTGCATTTCTACCATGCACAAGTGCAAACGGGCCCGGAAAGGTTTAGGCAGGTGTTGAGGACCCATTGACACTTGTGTGCTGTGGCTTGAGAACGTACCCATTCCACAAACATGCACATCACTGGGTTCATTTACAAAGGGGACCATCAAAACTGGTAAATCAGTCCTACAACACGATGGAAAAAGATTGTCGGCAGAAGAAACTGTATCATCATTGAGAAGGCTTCCATAGAGTGTTGGAGTCGCTGTAAATGTGGTAAAGAAGATTCTACACTGCTAGCGTATTTAATTGGAATGATGGTATTTGTCGTATTGGACCATGAATTGCCTTGTCTATGGTGAGCCGAAAGGTAGCTTCGGTAGAAGTCTTGTAATCTGACTCTTCTGCACTCCTTTTCCATATAATTGCAGATCTCCTATGTCACCTCCATGGACATTGGGGTATTAAGTTCCTCCACTGAAGCCATGCTTCATCCATTCCTGGAATGGTCTGTTGATGGTGGGGCACCTGCCAGGGGAATCCGCCTCCATGGATATTGGGTGTGAAGTTCTTGTGCTGAAGCCATGCTTGATCCATGCTTGGAATGGTCTGTTGCTGGAGAGGCACCTGCCGGGGGAACATTGTGTGCAACATTCAGGCCGACGAAAGTATGAAGGACAAAGAGTTTTGTATAATGACGAAGGCAATTGCAGGTCCCTTGGCACGTGAATCCCTCAAAGTTACTCAACATTGTGTGCAACATTCAGGCCAACTGAATGTATGGTGGACAAGGAGTTTTGTATCTTGAGGAAGGCAACTGCGGATCCCTTAGCAGGGGAATCCCTCAAAGTTACTCAACATTGTGTGCAACATTCAGGCCAACAGAAAGTATGATGGACGAGTTTTGTATCTTGAGGAAGGCAATTGTGGATCTCTTGGCAGGGGAATCCCTCAAAGTTACTCAACATTGTGTGCAACATTCAGGCCGACGGAAAGTATGGTGGACAAGGAGTTTTGTATCTTGAGAAGGCAACTGCGGAGAGCCCTTGGCAGGGGAATCCCTCAACGTTACTCAACATTGTGTGCAACATTCAGGCCAACGGAAAGTAAGGTTGAGAAGGAGTTGTATAGCTCAAGGTAGGCAACTGTGGGTCCCTTAGCAGGGGATGGAAAGTGGCCTTTGGACATTGTTGCCCAGACTTGGTGTTCTTATTACTGTCAAGCGTACTTGCCATAGGTGTCCTGATATCCCAGTCACTACCATACAGGACAACTTTCACATCCTGGTCACTTCTGTCAAGGTGTAGATGGCAGTTATTGTCCTCCACCAGTGATGGACAGAGTCAGCAAAATGCCCTAGTGCAAGGTTACTTTCTGGGTCCCCCATTCAGCTACTAACCAGATATAAAAACATTCACAGTGTGTCAACTGAAAATTAGAGGTGAGCAGGGGAAAGGGGTCTAAGCACTGCCCAAATCTAGTATAAGTCATCCTGGAGGGTCTTTGTGCAGCTGCAGAGACTGCAGGAATGGTAACGGATATGTCCCAACTGCTGCTAAGGGACCCACAGTTGCCCACCATGAGATACACAATTCCTTGTCTGCCATACACAGAATTTGTATACAAAGCCTTTCTGTTGGCCTGAACCTTACACGCAATGCTGACTGGCCTTCAAGGATTCCCCTGGCAGGTGTCCCACCACCATCTGACTATTCCATGCATGGATGAAGCACAAGAACATCACACCCATTGTCCATGGAGGTGGACTCCCCTGGCATGTGACCCACCACCAACAGACTATTTCAAGCATGGCTTCAGCACAAGAACTTCACACCCACTGTCCATGGAGGTGGATTCTCTTGGCAGGTGCCCATCCACCAACACACCATTCCAAGCATTGCTTCAGCACAAGAACTTCACACTCAATGTCCATGGAGGTGGATTCCTTTGGCAGGTGCCCCACCACCAACATAGCATTGCAAGCATGGCTTCAGCACAAGAACTTCACATCCAATGTCTATTGAAGTGCATTCCCTTGGCAGGCGCTCCACCACCAACAAACCACTCCAAGCATGGCTTCAGCACATGAATGCAACATCCAATGTCTATTGAACTGGATTCCCTTGGCAGGTGCCCCACCACCAACAGACCATTCCAAGCATGGATCAAGCACAAGAACTTGACACCCAATATCCATGGAGGTGGATTCCCCTGGCATGTGCCCCACCACCAACAGACTATTTCAAGCACAGCTTCAGCACAAGAACTTCACACCCACTGTCCATGGAGGGGGATTCTCTTGGCAGGTGCCCACCCATCAACAGACCATTCCAAGCATGGCTTCAGCACAAGAACTTCACACCCACTGTCCATGGAGGTGGATTCCCTTGGCAGGTGCCCTTCACCTCCAACATAGCATTGCAAGCATGGCTTCAGCACAAGAACTTCACACCCAATGTCCATGGAAGTGCATTCCCTTGGCAGGCGTTCCACCAACAACAAACCACTCCAAGCATGGCTTCAGCACAAGAATGCAACATCCAATGTCTATTGAATTGGATTCCCCTGGCAGTGCCCCACCACCAACAGACCATTCCAAGTATGGATCAAGCACGGCTTCAGCACAAGAACTTCCAATATCCATGGAGATGGATTCCCCTGGCAAATGCCCCACCACCAACAGACCATTCCAAGCTTGGATGAAGCATGACAAGTCCGCTATGGTGATGGTCGTTAGACATTTCAGAAGAAGCCACTTTTTCCATTGAATTGGCCCGGGAGGCCAGACATTGAGAAGAACAGAAAGTTTGCACCTGGGGTCTGTAATTATATTTAACAAATATATAATGGGGTGGAGGAGTGGGTTATGAGGAATTTTTCTAAACGCACACCAGCCTTGCCCCAGCCTAGCCCCAGCCTTGCACACTACATTTTCCATACCATAAAAACATTGCTCAATAAAAGATAAAACCAGTTATTCCCACAAGTCACGTCAATGTAGTAAAAGGAGAGTTAAGTGCCTAATTGTTGTAGAGATACGAGATCATTAAGCGCCGGCTTTATGTCCTCCATGCAGTGGTGGTGGCAGAGTACTGGGAACGTCGCCCAGTGCAACCATTAAACTTTCGCTCTCTTACCTCGCATCTGGAGCTTCATCTGAGTACTGAGAAGCTTTAATTATTCATGGCCGCTGACTGAGGGAAATATGAAGTCCATGGACTGTCTCCCTACAAGGTTCCCCTAATACGCTCACATGAGACTGACCCCTAGGGAAGAATAGAAAAACCCCCTACAGAAATAATAAAGTAGATGTAAACGCAAACTGGATAACATTTATTTCCCCTAAAGATGAAATTGAATCTACTTATATATTGTTTTCCCTGGCTCCTTCCTCCCCTTTGTCAACATGGTAATTGCGCTTGTCTATGCAATGCAGGCAGCTAATGGCTGGTGGGAGGGGCCTGCAGGGTGCTGTACATAGCTTGCTGAAAAACATCACTTTTGATGGGTGGGTATCAGTCTGGAGGAGTGGCTGTTCCTAGGCAGGTTGTGTTTCCATGCAGGCCATCCTTGGTGATGCTCACATGTGATGCTGAGATTCCATGATTGAAGGAACAGAAATCCAATGAAGGAAATGGGTTGGCCAGGGACAGCTAGACCAGGGAGGAAAGGCCTTAATGGTGCTGTAAGCCCTCCAACTAAGAAATTAGGTGGGCTCTATCTGACCATGAGCTGTGGTCAAGGCAATGTTTTCCAACAGTAGTCAGCATAATATTTATGGATACCTAACATTCAAGTATTTATTTCCTTTGATCACTAGCTCCAGCTAGTGGCCCTAGTGCAGTATTTTCCCGATTCACTTTTTTAAAAAGAATGAATGACATTCGATCTGTGGAGGAAATAGAAGGAAAACATTGGCTTTTTGGCACATTTGCACAGAATAAGTAGCTATGCAACAGATTGTGTGAGCTTGAGGCAAGTTTGGGGTGATGGAGCAGGCAAGCATGAAAGTTTCACAAAATCATTATTTTTATACAGGATTTATATAGCGCCAACAGTTCACAATATAAGGGGCGGCAGTACATTTACAGAAGGAATAAGAGGGCCCTACTCATGGAGCTTACAATCTAAAGGAAAGTTGGCGGTGGAAGCCGCAGGGGATGACTTGATGGAGGTGACTCAAGTAGGGATTTTTTTTAGGTAGAGATGGAGGATCACCTAAAGGTGGATAAGGTAGGAGCTGACCAAACATACTGGGGTAGGGAATTCCAGAGGATGACCAAGGTTCTGGAAAATTCCTGGAGGCGAGTGTGGGAAGAGATAACAAGGGAGCTGGAGACCAAGACATCTTGGGAGGAGTGGAGTGGACGGTTTAGACGAGGAGGTAGCAAGGGAGCTGAAGCGCAAGACGTCTTGGGAGGAGTGGATGGTTTAGACGAGGAGGTAGCAAGGGAGCCGGAGAACAAGACGTCTTGGGAGGAGTGGAGTGGACGGTTTAGACGAGGAGGTAGCAAGGGAGCCGGAGAACAAGACGTCTTGGGAGGAGTGGAGTGGACGGTTTAGACGAGGAGGTAGCAAGGGAGATGGAGAACAAGACGTCTTGGGAGGAGTGGAGTGGACGGTTTAGACGAGGAGGTAGCAAGGGAGCCGGAGAAAAAGACGTCATGGGAGGAGTGGATGCTTTAGACAAGGAGGTAGCAAGGGAACCGGAGAGCAAGACGTCTTGGGAGGAGTGGAGTGGATGGTTTAGATGAGGAGGTAGCAAAGGAGCTGGAGAGCAAGACGTCTTAGGAGGAGTGGAATGGACGGTTTAGACGAGGAGGTAGCAAGGGAGCTGGAGAGCAAGACGTCTTGGGAGGAGTGGAGTGGACGGTTTGGGCGACATCTGCAGATGAGTTTGGTGATATAGCTGGCGGCAGTGTTATGGATGGCTTTGCATGCTGTGGTTAGTATTTTGATATGTTGGGCTAGTGGAAGCCAGTGAAGGGATTGGTAGAGACAGGCAGCAGTCACACAGATGGGATGGAAGGTGAGGGAGCTCACCAGTGCGTTCTTCTTTCCTCGGAATGTACCAAACTGTTGATTTGGCCACACCTAATGTTGCTGCGATCTCTCTGATGGATTTGTTTTGTGTTTGAATCCTTACAATGGCCGGTGTCACTTGCATGGACGGTTCCTTTGAACGCATGATGTAGGTTTACAACAATAGATTCCAAATTCAAATACCACCCTTAGCATCAACTCCAAACCTTTTACCTATTTAATTGATGAAGAAATAACGAAGGAGTAGCCCACACCTGGCCATGAAACAGCTTTTGATTCAATTGTCCAATTACTTTTGGTCCCTTGAAAAAGGGGGGGTGGCTACTCTTAAGAGCTGTAATTCCTAAACCCTTCCTCCGATTTGGATGTACATACCCTCAAATGAGACCCGAGAGTGCGCACTGTCCGCCCATATCCATTATATAACTAGAGCTAGAATATGTTTTGGTAAATACCTGAAAAAATCTAAAATTGTGCATGTTTCCAAATACTGTATATATGGACCTAACTGTACACATGTACAAACGTAAAAGCACATGCCTACACCTACACATGAAAACGTTGATTGCGAAACACGTTACATATCGCCACGCACGCCAGAATGAGAGCAATCATTCTACCACCAGACCTCCTCCCTACATGATACTGATGACCTATAGGGGGCTTTAAAAGTGTCACCTAGGGTAATAAAGTTTGTCGCCATTTCATGAGCTCACGCAAATTTTAAGGTATGATATGCTGGATATCTGCTTACTCATGCAACCTCATCTTTTATGTTTTATGGAAAGAAATAGGGTCATTTTTTGCAGTTTCGTGCCCCTAAATCGGATGTATTTTTTTACTGAAAATATTGCATTTCCTAGACTTTTGTGGTAATATCGTGTGACACAAATTGGAACTGCCACCATTTTATTCTCTAGGGTCTCTGCTTCCAGAAAATATATCATGTTTTTGGGGTTTTATGTCATCTTTGGGCCTAAAATGATTTTTTAAAGGTATGCAAAAAGGGCAGCGAAAGGGATAGAGGATAAGCCCGACACTCCCCTTTCCTGCCAAGCAACCAATCGGTGCTCATTACACTGCAAGGTCTCTCCCCTCCCTGCTAGTCCCTGGGTACGGTGCTGGAGAGAGGTGGGGAGGGGAAGGAGATAAAAAACGCAATGGTAAAAATATTAAATGTTTAAGTCGCCATAAAGCCCCTTTTGTTTTTTAACCATTTCAGTCCGGACACTTTCCCCCCCTTAAGTCCGGACACTTTCCCCCCCTTCCGGTCCGGACACTTTCCCCCCCTTCCCAGACACTTTCCCCCCCTTCCCAGACACTTTCCCCCCCTTCCGGTCCAGACACTTTCCCCCCCTTCCGGTCCAGACACTTTCCCCCCTTCCGGTCCAGACACTCCCCCCCTTCCGGTCACACTTTCCCCCCTTCCGGTCCGGACACTTTCTCCCCCCTTCCGGTCCGGACACTTTCTTCCCCTTCCGGTCCGGACACTTTCTTCCCCTTCCCGGACACTTTCCCCCCTTCCGGTCCGGACACTTTCCCCCCCTTCCGGTCCGGACACTTTCCCCCCCTTCCGGTCCCGACACTCCAGTCCAGACACTTTCCCCCCTTCCAGTCCAGACACTTTTCCCCCCTTCCAGTCCAGACACTTTTCCCCCCTTCCAGTCCAGACACTTTTCCCCCCTGTCCAGGCCAGTTAGTTTTTAACCAAAAATTTTAATTTTTCAAAAAATTGTTTTACATTTTTATTTATTTTTTTTATATTATTATTTATGCTTTTGTGTTTTGTTTTGTTTTTTTTACCTCTCACCCAGCAGTACAGTGTCACCATGGTACTACTTGTGGGGGTGATGAGATTTTTTTTTTCTTTTTTTACACTGATTGCTTTTACCCCATAAAGGCTGTAAAACCAATAATTTCCCAGTCATTCCTGCAGCCATTGAGAAATACTTTGAGAGCTGTGATTGGTCACCTTGTCACATGGTACAAGGGTGTTGTGATCATTCACATTTCACACGTAGTAAGCAATGATGTCAGACATCTTGCTTACTACTATTCCCCCAATCTAGAATAATGACTAGGATACGGAGCAATCCCCTTAGCACAAGCACTGTGTAGCAGATGTAAAGGGACTGTCTTTAGTCCAAACTCTTCAGCTGACTAGCATTGGGGCCCAGTTGTACACTTTTCCCAAGCCTGCATGCAGCAAGAAGGCCTCTAGATGGCCAATCAGTGATCACTTCGGGACCTCCCACCCCGTTCCAGTCCTCCAGCACAGCTGGGCACAAGATCGTGGTGCTGCCTCCCCGCACACAGGCAGTGAATTTGGAGGCCGTTTATAAAAGTCCAGCACTGCTCCCCGTCCGGCCGTTTAGTACATTTGGGCGGGAACTGGTTAAAAATTCCTATAATTTTTCAAAAAATTTTTTCATTGGACAAGTAGATTTAGGGACAAGTAGATTTTTTTCCCTATTTTAAAAAATTTTCCATTGTACTTTTGATGATAGTCATAAACCTAGCAAGCATGGGATGGTTACAAGGCCATGGAGGTGTTTCAACTATCATCAACAACCAATGGTACAAAGGGCAGGGGTGTGGAAATTTTGGACAAATGGACAGCATTTTATCAAATTTTGGTTTGCTCCAAGGGATTATTGGAGATGAGTTTCAGCCCAAAAAAAAAATGAATGGTGGATTTTAGGCATGTTTGGGATGGCAGAGCAGGGAAGCCCCCCAAAGTTAAAAGAACTGGATCATGAGGTCTGTAATGAAGAAAATAAATACCATAGTACGCAAGAAGCAGTAGGTACAGTGGCATTAATGTTCTGTGATTGTTCATGGCGTCTGGGCATTGGAAAAATGCCTGTGCTGATCAGGCAGGAAGAAATTGTGATATCGTATTTGTGGCCGTAACTCAGGCCTCTTCCACCTGGAAGACAGAATTGGTTTTATTTAGCCATTCAAGGGTAGAAGGGAGGAGTCTGCGATTTCCAATGCAAATTAATGTAAGTCTTGGCAGCGTTGACAAGGTAAGAAAGTAATGAACACTTGGGTTGGTCTGGTGTAGAAGAAAAGTTCTGCGTAAGAACCGTTTCCCGAAACATTGGAAATGTTCTTGACTGAGCCCCAGAAAGGTTCAAGTTGATCACAATCCCACCCTATGTAAAGAAAATTTCGAACAGCACCAAAAAAGATCAGTTGTGAAAGTTACAATCTATGTAATTAATCGGTAGTAAGGTATTGACTGGTCCGATTGGCACTCAAGATGTTGGAGATGCCCTTGACCAAGTCCACGATGGGCTTGTTTTGATTGCATTCCCACCATATGTAAAGGAAATTTCCTTTATCTTTAGTACAGTTCCCACAGAGATCAAATGTAGAAGGGTATACCCACTTGTCCACCAGTTAAGTACCTGGTAGGTCATTGGACATCAAATGCTGCAGGCAACATCTCAGTACCGTTTTTTAGAGCGGACCGTTGGCTCTCTTGTAATCGTAATCGGAGCAGCTAACTAGCCGCTCGATTGCTGCTGCAAGCAGCGGGATGTGACGTTCCCTACATCCCCCTCCCACCACCTTCCGAGGCTTTAAACAGTATCTCCTTTCCCACCAGGAGTCCCGATCGATCGATCACCCGGCGTTCCTGCTGACTGATTACAGAGCTGAAGAAAGACCGGATCGGCTTACTGTGATACAGTAACCCGGATGACCTTACATCACTTCTTGTTTACTCGGAAATAAACTGCACCATTTTTAAAAAAGAAGACCATTTGATCTATCAGTCTTGGTGTGATTAAATGCTTTCAAGGGCAGAGGAGGGATTTGTGGTCCTATGGACTCCAGATCCCTTGATAAAGAGTACCTGTCACATGCCTATTGCTGTTACATGGTTCTGTTCTTGGACCCCTTCTCTTCTCCATCTACACCTCCTCCCTTGGTCAGTTGATACACTCCCATGGCTTTAAGTACCATCTCTATGCTGATGACCCACAAATCTATCTTTCTACCCCTCACCTCACCCCTTCAGTCTCCTCCTCACCTCACCCCTTCAGTCTCCGCTCGCATTACTAACCTACTAAGCGACATATCGGCATGGATGTCACTCCACTTCCTCAAACTCATTCTTTCCCAAAACTGAGCTCTTAGTATTCCCCCCCAGCCCGTGACCCCCCCCCAGACTTCTCCATCAAGATCAATAATACAACCATCAGTCCCTCCCCTCACGCCACTAGGTGTAATCCTAGACTCCCATCTGCCCTTTCAGCCCCAAATCCAATCACTGTCCAAATCTTGTAGACTTCACCTCCGCAACATCTCCAAGATACGCCCGTTCCTAACCTCGGAAACCACTAAGCAACTTATTCCCTCCCTTGTTATATCTCGCCTTGACTATTCTAACTCCCTCCTCATTGGCCGACCTCATCGCAGGCTATCCCCTCTTCAGTCTATCATGAATGCTGGTGCCAGACTCATCCACCTTACTAACCGTTCCGTATCTGCCACCCCTCTCTGCCAATTTCTCCACTGGTTTCCACTCAGTGTCCTCCACCCCTCTCTGCCAATCCATCCACTGGCCTCCACTCAGTGTCCTCCACCCCTCTCTGCCAATCCCTCCAATGACCTCCACACAGTCAGTCTCATCCACCCCTCCTCCAATCCCTCCACTCAGTGTCCTCCACCCCTCTCTGACAATCCCTCCACTGGCCTCCACTCAGTGTCCTCCACCCCTCTCTGCCAATCCCTCCACTGACCTCCATTCAGTGTCCTCCACCCCTCTCTGCCAATCCCTCCACTGGCCTCCACTCAGTGTCCTCCACCCCTCTCTTCCAATCCCTCCACTGGACTCCACTCAGTGTCCTCTACCCCTTTCTGCCAATCCCTCCAAGATTGTATGTAGAATGGTATAATCTATGTAATTAATCGGTAGTAAGGAACCAATTGGCACCAGAGATGTTGCAGATGTCCTTGACCAAGTCCAAGAAAGGTTTAATCTGACTGCAATCCCACTATATGCAGAGGAATGTTACATTATCTTTAAGGCAACTTCAACAAAGATCATATATAGAAGAGTATAATCTATGCAATTAAATCGGTAGTAAGGAACCAACTGGTCCAATTGGCACCTGAGACACTGGAGAGGCCCTTGACCAAGTCCCAGAAAGGTTTAATCATGTCACGTTCCTACATATGTGAAGGAACGTTCCCTTATCTTATCTCTTATATAGCTCCAATAGCTCCAACAAAGACCATATGTAGAAGGGAAATGAATCAATAGTAAGGAACCAGCTGATCCAATTAGCACCCAAGTCATTGGATATGCCATTGACCAAGTCCAAGAATGCTTCCAAATAATCCCGTTCCCACAATATGTGAAGGAAAGTTCCCTTATCCTTAGAAGAACACCAACAGACGTGAGATGTGGAAGGATATAATCAATGTAATAATCGATAATAAAGTACCATTTGGTCCAATTAGCACCCAAGACATTGGACATGCCCTTGACCAAGGCCAAAAAACGTTTAATACAATCCCGTTCCCATGTTAAGCGAGGGTTGATATACGAAGGGAAGTTCCCTTATACTTAGGAGAGCACCAACAGAGATGAGATGTGGAAGGGTATAATCAATGTAAAACATCGATAATAAAGTACCATTTGGTCCAATTAGCACCCAAGACATTGGACTTGCCCTTTACTAATTCCAAGAAACATTCAATCCAATCTTGTTCCCATGATATGCGAAGGGAAGTTTGCTTATACTTAGAAGAGCACCAACAGAGATCAGATGTGTAAGGGTATGATCTATGTAAATAATCAGTAATAAAATACCAATTGGTCCAATTAGCACCCAAGACATTGGACATGCCCTTGACCAAGTCCAAGAAACATTCAATCCAATCCTGTTCCCACGATATGTGAAGGAAAGTTCCCTTATCCTTAGAAGAGCACCAACAGAGGTGAGATGTGGAAGGGTATAATCAATGTAAATAATTGATAATAAAGTACCATTTGGTCCAATTAGCACCCAAGACATTGGACACGCCATTGACCAAGTCCAAGAAACATTCAATCCAATCCCATTCCCATGATATGCGAAGGTTGATATGCGAAGGGAAGTTCCCTTATACTTAGAAGAGCACCAACAGAGATCAGATGTGGAAGGGATGTAAAATGATCGATAATAAAGTAAATAACCCAAGACATCTTGCCCTTTACTAATTCCAAGAAACATAAAATCTTGTTCCCAATTGTGTTCCAATTAGAAGACACCAAGAGATCAGATGTGGAAGGGTATGATCATGTAAATAATCGGTAATAAAGTACCAATTGGTCCAATTAGCACCCAAGACATTGGACATGCCAAGTCCAAGAAACATTCAATCCAATCCCATTCCCATGATATGCGAATGTTGATATGCAAAGGGAAGTTCCCTTATACTTAGAAGAGCACCAACAGAGATCAGATGTGGAAGGGTATAATCAATGTAAATAATTGGTAATAAAGTAGCAATTGGTCCAATTAGCACTCAAGACATTGGACATGCCATTGACCAAGTCCAAGAATCGTTACCGCAATCTGCTGGGTCCTGTGCCGAGCAGCCCTTCTGCACACAGACTACAAGGGGCACTGCCCTCATTTCCAGAATGCCTTGGAGTTTTTTTTCAATGAATACAAGGTGTTTCCTGACTGGACGAGGTGGAGAGGAGGAGCGGTGACAACACACAATCTCTGCTTCATCCAATCAGGGAATGCCTTGTATTCATTGAAACTATACAAGGTGGTTCTATGAATGGGGGCAGTGCTGATCGAGAGACCCCCAGCCAACGAAGAGACCTAGGACAGTCGAGGCTCCCATGTATCGAGATCGGGTTCAGGTAAGTATTAGGTTCGGCTGTGGGGGGGAGCAGCACCCATATTTTTATTTTTTTTTTTGCAAGAAGGTAAAAAATCTTCAGCCTTTACAACCACTTTATTCCAATCACATTCCCACCATATGAGAAGGAATGTCCCCTTATCTTTAGAATAGCACCAACAACGATCATATCTACAAGTGTTCGACTCGAACCTTGGCCGTTCGTGTATTCGCTAAAAAAAGGAAACAGAATCGATCCGCAACCAATTTTTTCTCATTCTGCACATCTAGTTTTAAGGCCAGCTTCACCGTGAGTGCTGAGGTGTCAAGTCTATACAGTTTCATGTTATGTAACCAATCGGTAGTAGAGCAGCACCAAATGGCACCTGAGACACTGGAGATGCCTGTGACGATC